GGAAATGTTTCATTGCTCATGCGACGAGTTTCAGTTCAAAGCCTAATTCAGTTATTTTTCATGTTTTGATGTGCTTTCGTGTACGTTTCAGTATTCCCAAGCTCAGGATATGGTAAAAGCGATCAAACTTGTTTATATTCATACTTTTTGTGACTAGAACGTATTATCGTGGGCTTGGAAATATTGAAACATGCACGGAGGCACATCAAAACATGACAGTTGCCCCAAAAATAGCTTAAGGCTTTTCACTGTGACACGTCACATGAGTGGTGAATACATTTCAGTTTCCAATAGTAAACGCCTTGTTTCAAACGTAAAAAAAACATGCAAAAATGTTTGCAGTTTGTGCTTGGATGCAAATTGCTGTATCTGGTCACAAGCCATGGACCGGCCGCCATGTTGAATGGCCCCACTTGAAGAGTGTAGATTTCTATTTATACAGAATATATAGTTTTCGTTTTAAAATGCAAACCTTGTTTCAGGAAAGGAGTATATATAAGTACAAAGCAGCTTGACCAACTGAACAAGTTGGTACAACAGCGATATTTACAGCTGTATTTAAACAGGCAAGTCTTGCATTATTCTAGTATGACCTTTGTCATGGCTGTCAAAACTTAAATCGTGGTCGGTGATTCATACAGTGTTTGTTTAGTACTAAAGTGATGGGATAATTTTATATTTTAGTTATATGAAACTTTCATTAATCTATGTCTGGCAGTCACTGGCTGGCATTGAGTCTCTTGCATTTGAGTCATTTGTGATTTGAACTAATTGGATGACCCCATGTGTCATCAAGTTCTGTGACAGTGTGACCAGATTTGGTAAATTAATTTACTTTTGGGGAAAGTTTTGGTAAAATAAAATTTTGGTAAAAATTTTGGTAAAATTTCAAAAAAATCAAGTAATTTAGTATTTTTTGGTAAAATTTCAAAAAATAATGTCCCTTGTTTCTTAAAAACCCCAAAAACTTGGAATATAACTACGCTAAAGAACTGCTGTATCGTGGCAATACCAGTCCAAGACTAGCATATAGAAGTTTGTTGAAGGATTATGTGCATTTAATTTAGTGTATTAATGAATTATTTAGTTGTTGACTGTTGAGTCTCCTGTTGTTATTGCAATTTGTAATAATAGCGAGAGTTATGGAAACTTATTTGGATGGGACAGGGTATAATACTTATTGTCGTGTATTTAGATTATACTTTTAACAAAATATGAATAATACATAAGCATGGCCGATCTACATAACTAATGCGCATGTCAGTGGGTATGACTGCTGTAACGTTATATATTTTATTTATCTTATGCCGTATAAACTACATTTAACTTTACTTTATAACTCAACTATACTCAGTCCTTGTTCAACGTGCCTTCGACGTCCCATGTGCTCACATGCATGAGTCACGTGATATCCTTACATTCCCCATACAATAAGAAAGTTAATATTAATTAACAGTTTGAACACCGTCTACTCTCATGAGATAAAGTCAACTTTAAAATTGAAGTCTTATAACAACTACTAAGTTCTTCTTAAGTCCTAACATGCTTTACTTATCTGTTAAGTGTATTGTTCATATCTACGAGGTTTCTTAATTTTTCTACCATATCTTGATCTGTCTCTTGATACTTCATTCGAGGGTAACGACTTTGTCTCGACTTGTTTCTCCGCTCGTTTCGTTGTGCTTACATTTTTATTATTTCCGTCTTCGACTTCCGAGGTAATTTTTCTCAGTTGTTTCCTGTTTCGTCTGTATTGAACTTTGTCCTTGGTTTCCACTATGTACGAACAAATTGCAATCTTTTCTTTCACCGTTGCCTTTTCTCCCCATATCAACTTCTTTTGGTCGTAGATTCTCACCATCTCACCTTGCTTCAGTGGTGGCAAAGGTTTGGCTTCTCTGTCATGATAAGCCTTCTGGATTTCTTTTTTCTTTGTTTTCCATGCAACAACTGCTTTGGAATCTTTAACATTGAGCTGGTTTTCTACAACTGGAAGATCTGTTTTAAGTGTTCTTCCCATCAGTAACTCAGCTGGTGACTTATGGTTGTCAAGTGGTGTTAATCTATATGCTAACCAGGGGCGTAGCCAAGGGGGGCAAGGGGGGGCGACCGCCTCCCCAATCGCAAAAAAACCCATTCTCTGAAAAAGGCTAAATCCGTAGAGAAATGTGGGGGGGGGGTACACGTTACATTCCCGAAGCTGAAACTGATTAAGTACGTCGCGCGACTGAGGAAAACGAGGATATACTGGAGGAACTTGATTTGTAAAATCTCGTTAATTAAAGCAGTTTTAGATATGGTTCCAAGAAGACAAGATTTAGTTTAGATTTACGTGTATGCATTATCATCGCATGAATATTCTTGTCAGACTTATTCTGTATCGTATGAAAAAGCAACGCAATTTTGAGAATGCGGAAATGCTGTCTCATAGAATCTAGAATGATTTAAATGCGATATTTCTGATCACAATGACATTGGCATGTCTAGAAAAAATTTTGGACCCCTAAAATGGTACACTGACCGAAATATTTTTGGCGACGGGGGGTCGCGAAAAATAAATTGTTCCGGGAAAAATTTTATCAGACAGCCCTGTCTCGCGCCTTCGGCGTTCGCTTCGTCCCCCCAAAAATGAAGGTCTGGCTACGCCACTGATGCTAACAGTCCGAGATACGGGTCTGTTCCGCTTTCAATTGATTTGCTTATAATATTCTTTACTGTCTGGACAGCCTTCTCGACTAACCCATTAGAGGACGGGAAATGAGGACTACTGGTAACATGTTTAAATCCCCATTTGGTCTTGAAATCAGCAACCTCTTGACTACTGTAACATGGTCCATTGTCACTATGAACAATATCAGGAATGCCATGTCTGGCGAAAGTTACTTTCATACCTTTAATCACAGCTTTACTGCTTTGGCTTGATAGCGGTATCACTTCCGGATAGCTGGAATATGCATCCACAATGACAAGTTATTCTTTCTTGTTGATTTCACAGAGATCTGTGCCGACCACTTGCCAGGGACGGGTTGGAACTGCATATGGCTTTAATGGTTCTTTCTGGTGGTTATGCTGGTGATGTTGGCATGTCTCGCAACTCTCAACTATGTTATCAATGTCACTGTTGATTCCAGGCCAAAATACTACTTGTCTGGCACGTTGCTTGCATTTCTCTCTGCCCTGATGACCAGCATGAATTTTTATTAGGATTTCTTTTCTCATCTTTGTTGGAATTACAATCTTTGAACCTTTTAGTATCAGCCCTTGGTGTACCGATAATTCATCTCTAATGTTCCAATAAGCATGAAGTTCGTTAGAAGTATTGGATCTTTCATTGGGCCAACCGTGCATGATAGTATTTTGAAGTAATATCATTGTTTTGTCCTTTTGGGTGTCCTCTTTAATCTCTTTTAGTTTCTCATCTCTGACTTGTAGCACTGCTATGAATCCATCTACATGAGCTTCAATATGGTGGTCTGACTTACTTGCCAGCTTTAGGGGTGCTCTGGATAATGCATCTGGTGTATGCATCCACTTACCAGGAACGTACGAAAGTTTGAAATCATATTTCTGTAATCGTAATCTCAACCGCTGTATTCGTGGCTTTTTGTATTCATTGCAAATTGACACTAATGGTTTGTGGTCTGTCTCTATTTCGAATTCTTGACTGTATATGTACCGGTGGAATCTTTCACAAGAAAATGTCATGCCTAGTGTCTCAAGTTCAATTGTTGCATATCTGCTCTCACAATCTGTAACTGACCTCGATGCATATGCTACTGGAAGCCAATTTTCACCATGTAGCTGCTGCAGTACTGCTCCTAAGCCACTCCTACTTGCATCCGTTGAAATCTTTATGGGCTTGTTTGGATCGTAGAACCTTAACACAGGTTCGCTTGAAACAAGTTCCTTCAATTCTTTCCATGCTTTCTCTTGCTCATTGTTCCACATCCACAACACCTTCTGATTTAACAACTTTCTTAATGGCATTGTTCTAGTGGATAAATCTGGTATTTATCTAGCAAGATAATTAATCATACCTAGGAATCTCTGGAGGTCTGTTTTGTTTCCAGGTCTTTCCATGTTCTGGATTGCCTCAACTTTTCTCTGGTCAGGTTTCAATCCCTCAGCCGAAATTGTGTCCCCCAGGTAAGTCAACTGTTGTACACCCACTTCGCATTTGAAGTTTCAGCCCAACTTCTTTCACAACTTTCATTGTTGCTTCCAATCTTTGATCATGTTCTTGTGGGGTTGATCCATAAATGATGATGTCATCCATAAAAGTATCTACGCCTTCTAAATGACTAAACAAAGAGTTAATGGTTCTATGATAAATCTCTGGGGCACTGGAGATTCCAAATGCGAGTCGTAAGTATTTGTATCTCCCAAAAGGGGTATTGAAAGTACATAAATTAGTACTTTCGTCTTCAAGCTTCATTTGCCAAAACCCATTTGAGGCATCTAGTATAGTAAATACCTTGGCATTTGCAAATTGAGCTGTAACTTCGTCTCGTGTAGGTAACTTGAAATGTTCATGTTTTATTGATTTGTTCAAGTTTCTTGGGTCTAAGCAAACACGTAAGTTTCCATTTGGCTTGGTAACTGGCACAAATGAGTGAACCCACTCAGTCGGTTCTTCCATCTTTTCAATCACGCCCATAGCTTCCATTCGTTGTAGTTCGTCTTTGAGCTTATCATACTGCGCGAAGGGTATTTTGCGACAAGGCTCAACAACTGGTGTTGCATCATCTCTTAACTCGATTTTTACGGTATGAGGTAAACAGCCTAGTCCTTCGAAACAGTCAGCATATTTCTTGCATTGTTATACCTGCTGCCCGTTAAATTGTTCGAACTGTTCGACTGGTCAATAGAAAATGTTCTTTTCACAAGATTTAACTTTTCCGAAAGTTCCCTTCCCAAAATAGGTTTAACATCATCAGGGCTGATTAAAAACAGCGCTTTCACAGATTTCTCTTTCAACTTTAAGGATAAAATACACTGACCTTGCACTTGAACATCTCCCCTGTTGTATGCTTTCAGTTTAGTCTTTGATTGTTTCAACTTTGGTCTGTTCTGAAGTGTCTTAAACTCGTTATAACTCATTACATTGACATCCGAGCCAGTGTCTACTTTAACAGTAACTATACTGTTGTTTACTTCCAATGGAAGTATCCATGGATCTGACTTGTCAGCGGTCGTTTCCGTCGAATAAACATAGAATTCATGTTCGTCACTAGACTCACTACTTGGTTCAGCGTCCCTCTCTTGTTTACCGTTGTTCTCTACCGCATCGACTCGATGTTTTCTCAGATATTTTGGCAATTCTTTGTCTCGGGTTCTACATTGACTCATAAAATGATTTTTCTTGTGACAATTTCTACATTCCTTTCCCACAGCTGGGCATTTATCATAACTATGGTTTCCCTGACCACATCTTCTGCAATTTAATCTGTTGTTATAAAAATTTTTATCTTTACCACCGTTGCCCGTTAATCCTGAATGCGTTTCTCTTCGATAATTCGTTCCTCAACTATAACCTGCATCAATTTCTTCCGATTTACGTGACTTATCTGTTAAGGTTTTCATATGCTTGTCGGCAACTTCTGCTGCTTTGCACACGTCCATACACCTTTCTAGCAATAAATCTTTTTCTCGAAGAAGCCGTGCTCGAGTTCTGTCATTGCTGATTCCTTCAACAATCCTGTCTTTAACGATCGAGTTTGTAAGTTCTCCATACTCACAGTTCTTTGCTAATCGTTTCAGTTCCGTCACAAACTGCTCTACCGATTCGTCAGGCTTTTGTTTCCTCAAGTTAAACACATGCCTTTCGTGCGTGACATTTTTTTTGGAAGACAATATGCTTCAAATTTCACTACTAACGCCTCGATTTTATCTTTTTCTGTATCTTCAAACGTGAGTGTTTCGTAAACTGTAATCGCTGTTTCGCCAGCCAAGGTCAAAAACGTTGCACACTGTATTTTCTGCGACTTTTTGTCTTTCTCAGTAGCGGTCATGTATAGCTCGAAGGCTTTCTTCCAACACCGCCAATTTTCAGCTGCATTTCCATCGAGTTTCAACGGTTTTGGGGCTGGGATTTGTTCTGCCATTTCGTGTTCTTGTATCTTTGATTAAAATCCCTTTTCTGACACCATGTAACGTTATATATTTTATTTATCTTATGCCGTATAAACTACATTTAACTTTACTTTATAACTCAACTATACTCAGTCCTTGTTCAACGTTCCTTCGACGTCCCATGTGCTCACATGCATGAGTCACGTGATATCCTTACAACCGCTGTCCGTCTATATCTATATATCTATCACTTATGGTACCGGTAACCAGTGGAATACTAAACTTTGAATCCTGGTATCCCAGTTGGATACGGAGAAAAAATATAAATTTCAGACCCTGTATATCACTGATTTATATTGCTAGCTTTCATATCAAGAAAAGTGTTAGAAATTATGTTTACATGATTATTTGACGGTTTCGTTATGCTGTCGCCATGAAAAAGGCCAAAAAGGGTGTAACACTCACCTACAATGACTACACGCAGCCAGAAATTTCAAAACGTGGAAATTGCACATGTTTGGTAAAAAAAATCCAATTTGGTAAAATTTCAGCCCAACTTTTGGTAATAACTGCTGAGAAAGTCTGGTCACACTGTTCTGTGAATAAATGAATTAGGCACATTAGATTACCCTGATATTTTAATTGCAGGAATTGGGAAGACAGAATATGCTGCAGTCGATGCTCCAATGTAATAGTTGGCAACCAATGTAATAGTTGGATTATTAAAAATATCTTGTATTCAGAGATGCTTTGAGAAATAAACTTGTGAATAATACTGGTCAAATTAAAGCTGCAGAATTTCATTACTACCTTAGACTTAGTTGTTTATTGTCTTGACTACTTACTAATGAAATGTTGATGCAAATTTACATTTGTTCAGTGATTCCTCAACACTTACTCCCTTCACTATTTACCCCTTTAGGGAGTGGTCATTATTTATGGGGGTAAATGGGGAAAATGAGGCTTGAAAACTTTTTTGACCCCCAGCAGCTGTGTGTGTTGCAGATAAAGTTAGATATATGAGGACAATCTGTTTAAATCTAGCTCATGATGTTTTATGCTGGTGAATATGATTAAAAATATATATTATGTGTTACTACTTTGCAATGCAACATTTGTCCTACCATAACCTTAACCCATGGCCTGTCTTCATATAATGAAATGATTTGAACACAGGGCTATAGTATGGTCCAAAAAGGGACCATACTATACTGAGTGTGGAGAGATGACAGATGGTTGTTGGTGACAAAAGTTTGGTGTGGTATCATATGTATTAGTAGGGGCATCTGGGGGCATTCTCCGCCAGAAAATGTTTTTGTATTTTCCACCCCTAGGACTGAAATGTGAGCATTTTCTGAAACAGATTTGTGGATATGCAGCACTACATTGTGCTTTGATAGACTGAATCTGATCAGTTATGTGTACTTGCATGGTATGTTTATGTAAATACCACAACTGGGTCACTCAAGGGGTAGGAAGTTTGTTAAACTTTAGTGGGCCTGACTCCCACAAGGTGCTACCATGGTTGGTGCAGAGTAGGGAAATTTTGAGTTTCTAGATTGTTGGAAATGGCATTTTCAGAGTCTTCTTTACCTCTTTGGCATTATGATTTGTGAGTTTATGCTGTTTGTGATTATAGAAATCAGAACTCTAGACATGGTATTTAAGTTCAAAAACCTTTTTGACCCCCCTTTCTCTAGGTTAAAACTTTTTTGACCCCCCTATTTATAAGGGTAAAACTTCATTTGCCCCCCCCTTCCCATTTACCCCCTCCCATAATGACCACTCCCTTAGGTCTCATATCCCAATGCACCTGTTTGGTAATTTTATCACAAATACTTCCTTGGCCTGGAAGTATTCAATCTCATGAAACACAACAGATGGCTAACTGGTAAAGATTCATGAGAACAACACCAATCTTGTTTTTGGCCGGTGAACTGCAAATTTCACCAGCGCTAAGAAGATATTTGACAGCCATTCACCAGACGCTGTGTGTAATTCGCCAGTACTTGCAGTCATGATAAGCTGGAATTTTTAGCCCAGCACTCGGACAATAAATCAAATAGACAAAACTCGCAAGCCTTTGTTCGCCCTCCATCGCAGGGAAAGACCATGTTATCGGCTGGTCATGTGTCTTTCCCAAAAAGACCATGGGTTCAAGGATGGCTTTTGCCAACTACTAGCAACTCACAGCTCTCTTTAAGCTTCGACCTTGAATCCATTCTTTGCATACTCGCTTTGCTCATCAATTTATAGCCGGAGCCTCAGTCAAGCAAAACAGTATTATATATAGCCATGCCCAAATTATTATTAGCCAGGACTTCAAACAGGATACCTGAAGGGCTGGAATAAGGCTCCTGGGCCAATCAGGGATTTGAGACATGTGTATCAAAAAGATTTATTTTGAACAGCTAAACCCATAATCTGAATCTATAATATTTCTGCATTATTTACATGGTAGAAATACAGAATAAAAATACAGATAGCATTGACATTTGACAACAACATGAGTTGATAAAGATCTCTAATGTATTAGTAGGTGCATATTGACTGTTGTACTCTTGATGAATGATGGGCAAAGCTTCATAGCATTTACAATCTTGTGTTGAATTTGTTCAGTCTAACTGAAATACAATATGCAAAAATTATAGTGAATATTTTCAAACTAATCTCAGGGCTTTGGCCATAATATATACATTGTACACATTCCATTTAATAAATACAGTACACTACATCAGATAATATCAATGACATTGTCACCCTGCATGAAACTTCCAAACCGAAATACATTGGCTAGAATAAATGCATTCCATTCACTCCACGCCAAATATATCCAGCGTGAGGTTACAAAATTGTTGGTGTATTGGCGTGAGATCACTCAAAAAGAAGTGATGAGTGTAAAAACAGTAAGCCTGAATTGTCAATTCAGTATGTAAATTTATATATTCACAGTATAACTTCAAGAATATGATGTTTAATAATAGTATATAAAAATGACAGGTTAGACATTTTAACATGGATTTTGGTCCCCAAAGTTAAAATCTCTGATGTATTCGCTCGAACTATCGTATATGTTGGCGTATCTCTGGCGTAGTTTACATGGAAATATGGAATGCACCCTGGCCAGTTGGTCTATTTAAACCAAATTTGCCAGACCAAGCATAAAATGTCAATTACAAATGCACTGCACACTAAACCCTAAACCTATCTAGTAAAAATGTAAGTAATTGTTTTAGTACTGTAGTAAATAGTGCTGTGTCTGACCTTCGGTCGACTCTGACATTTTGACGGCCAAAATAAAAGCAGTTATAGATAGCTATTTATTTTCCATTATACAGTTACAGTTTTGATAAAATATAAAGATACAATTCATATGGAAGGAAGACTAACAAGCCCGTCAGGGCTTTTCTAGTAGTCCACCCTAAAAAAATTAAAAAACAAACTAATATAACAAAGGAGAATAGTGTCAGATAATGTCAGGTTCAAGATATATGAGGTCCACTAATACAAATTAACTTTATAAAGTTATAAATTATTTTTATTTACATTTTTTGTGAGTACAACTAATAATCTTCAGAAGAAAGAAGATATAATTTTAGATTGCACTTAAATATGTATTTACTATCGCTATTTTTAATGTATTCCGGCAACATATTCCACACTACTGTGCATCTGTTTTTTGTGGAATACAGTCCATAGTTTGTTTTATTGTAGTGTTTGTGTAATTTCATAGAGCCTCTGGTATTATGGCAATGAATAACATTGTTTTTTATGCAAAGTGAATCAAATTGAGGTGGTAGTGTATTTTTTAGTGCGTCGAATGTGAACAAGCCAACTTGAAAAGCATTTATCTTATTAATATTTAGTATTTCTAGCGTTGGAAAAAGGGTTGAAAATGAGAAAGTATAAGGCAAAAATGATATTATTTTCAGAATCTTTTTCTGTATCGTTGATACTGACTTTAATCATGTTTTATAGTTGCTAGCCCATAGTATATTACCGTAATATAAATGTGGGTAAACAAGAGTATGATATAGAGTTATGAGATGTTTTTTATTTAGGTAGTGACGAACTTTACAAAGAATGTTAGATACTTTTAATAATTTCTTAGTTATGTAATCAATATGACTTTTCCATGTTAAGTGTTCATCAATTATAATACCAAGGAATTTAGTTTCTTTAGCATTTTGTATAATTTTATCATTAATCTTAAAGGTTAGATTTGCGTTATGTTTTTTCCTGAATGATTTGAATATAATGTAGTTAGTCTTTTTAAT